CCTCAATAGGTCGATGAGTGCCGAGGCTACTAGTACTTTCTGTTTTCGATTAGGAATCCAGAAAGTACGAATTCTGTTCTTACTAGTAAATAGTAAAGGGCTGGCACTCTGATAATCTAGTCCTTTTAGGGGCCCCAAACTAACAGTTCGTTTATAATTCTAAAAAGGTTAAAAAAGTTTACAGAGAACATCATAAAGGTTACAGAAATGTTGTAAAGGTTACAATAAGTTTATATAAAGGTTACAAAAAGTATGTGATGGAATCACTGAAGGTACATTACGAGAGTACAGTTTATGTGTTATAGAGGTTAACGCTTTGTTGATGTAGATAACCGATGATGGATTTAAGTCTGTAAAAAGATACCACAGACGAAACAAGCTGATGATAAAAGTACGTTTTCTTGCTGAAAATATCAAGTGGCAGTATATATCTTTCAAAAAAAAAAAATTCTTTCGAGCATGTTGTCCTACAACGATTTGGTTTATTTTGATTACGTCAAAGCAACCGAGGGCTGTGTGCCAAAGGCGAAGATGTCAGGATTTTCTTAAGTAAATGAACTTGTATTCACGTTACACACATAGGAAAAAACACGAAAATATTCTTGCAGGCAGAGTATTCGCATGGAATCGAACCCCTGACCAGACTACCAGTATTTAGTGATTTCACAGCTCAGCCATTTGAGGGTCTGATCTATAATGGAGAAGATTCCAGACTTTTATAAAGTATCTTATACTCAGTGTCCCTAATCAGTACTGCAAAAGGAAACAGAAAATACAGCATAAATGTTTAGAAACTTAAATTTCAACAACAATCAGCATTTTAATATTTTTTATTGCTTGTTGTTTAGCTGAAAAAATAGAGAGATCTGCCCATTGGAAAGGATGCCCTGACCGAAGACTTTCTAAAGGAAACTGTTCCATACTTACACTGGTGTGCAAAAATTAAGGATGAGACGGTTTTTTCAATATAACTTTGTACAAAAGCTTTCCAAATCAAAACATTTAATATCGTAAGATCCCCAATACGTAAGGACACGAGTAATGTAAGCAACACTTACTAAAAGAGAAATCAGAGGGATAGAAAGAAGCTTTATTGAAAAAGTATCATGGACCGAAATGCGACTGAAGGCCGAAACATCCCTGTGATGGGTGTCCAGCAAGAAGCATCCGGTCTTTAATAGGGGATATGATCTCCCCTGACTGCTAGGCAGGTTTCCGAGCGTCTGCCCATGCTGAGAATGAGGGTGTCAATGAGTTGTTGAGGCATTGCTGCCCATTCGTCTTGCAGCGCTAATCGAAGTTCCGGAATCGTTACTCGTGGTAAGGTACGAACTGCCAAGCGTCTGCCTAGAAAATCCCATACATGCTCGATGGGATTGAGATCCGGAGATCGTGCCGGCCAATCCATACGTTCAATATCCTCACTCTCTAAGAGCTGTTCGGCAGCTACTGTGCGATGACATGGTGCATTGTCGTCCATTAAAAGGAACTGCGGACCCATAACGCCTCTAAAAAGACGCACATATGGAAGAAGAATCTCGTTACAATAACGGGTCCCGTTGACTGAACCTGCGTCAAAGATGTGAAGGTCTGTACGACTACCAAGCATGATGCCTCTCCAATCGAGAACACCGCCACCTCCATACCTGTCCCTTTCAATGATGTTCGAGGGATGATTGCGGCTTCCCCGCTCTCTCCAGATGAGTATGCGATGAGAATCGCTACTCAGACTGAATCTGCTCTCATCTGTAAAGAGTACTCGTCCCCATTCATTGTCTCTCCAATTCCGGTGTTCCCGGCACCACAGAGAACGCCTTCTCCGATGAGCAGGCGATAGAGGTACACACCGTACAGGGCGTCGTGCAAACGGACCACCACCGGGCAGTCTTCTGGCCACGGTAAAACGTGATATCAGTCGTCCAGTCGCCTGTGTCGTGTGTCTAGCGATTTCTCCCGCTGTCTGCCGCCTGTTTCTTCTGGCCTGTAAGGCAATATACCGGTCATCTGCGGGTGTGGTTCCTTGTGGACGACCACTACTAAACCCCCGGATAGCTGTTCCTGTAGTTTGAAATTGTCTCCAAAGTCGTGAAACGATGCTGTGAGCAATTCCGAACTCTGCAGCCACACTTTTCACACTGTGGCCTTCCTCCAACTTCCCAATGATTCGACCTCGGGTAAAAGCTTCCAAATGTCGTCTAACAGATTGATTATTCGCCATTTCTCGCTGAGGCAGCAACTTGGTGTGATTTTTAACTGCTATACGGCGTGCAATCTCTTTGCCAGAAATACTGACACCGACAACATGCTTTATACTTCTCAGACACTCCCCCATTACGTCTACCTGCATATCTGCGCATGTGCTACCGTACATCACCTTACTTAATCTCCTGATTGGTCTTTCTGTCCGCTCTGCCTCTTCGTTCAGCTGATATGCTAATTTTTCGACTTCATGCTTAATTTTTGCACTCCAGTGCATATTACTCTTGAGAACATCCCCAAAGCACCTTACAGTCTATTCGTCAAGATTCGAACCAGAGTCCAGATCAAGATTCCAACCATATAGGGGGTTGATTAAGAGTGCTGACAGGGTTCAGCCCTCTTAGTAAAGAAAATTAGATCGAGATTCGCAGACAGCTATTTTTAGAATTTACCAAACACATTCTTTTTCCTTCCTGGCTTCGTCTGCAATAATTTGTTTAGCTTTGAAGCTTGTATAAATAGTAACTACACTTGAATGCAACTGAATGTTGTGGTTTCTTGATTGCAGGAATAGCTAATGTTGGCTGGCCGTTCGGTGATATCTCTCATATGCCGTTGTGTGTTGTCCGGCAAACCTAAGCTGAATATTGGAGCTCCCATGTACACAAGTACCATAACTAATGTTCGCTGTTGAATCACAGGCGATTACTGACTCTCGGCTGAGTGAGGCTGCTAGGGATTTTTTTCTGTTAGTAATCTGAGATACCATATAGGGGGTTGATAAAATTTTAAGTATCTATAAAAATGTAGACGTCAGTAGAATAACACTGATATTTTCCAGTTTTTATATTTAGCCCAGAGGGCGTTAGCCCCGAAGGACTACTAATTTCGTTTTGGCATTTTGTGAAGTTTCACTATAAACGGCCTTTCATTTTTTAAACGTACGTCTCCACCAGAGTATGGGCATCGGAAGGCCCAAATTTGGAATTTGTTTTATTATGTGTTTCATATTTTAATAAAGCATTAATGAATTTTTGATTAAGAAACTGAAAGATTTTAAAGCGAGCAATGGCAACACTCCACGGAAAGAAAAGATTTTTATCTCCAGCGCGCGAGACTGCACATTGGAAATTCTAAAGATATGCTCTTTTTAAGTACAGGAATGGGTCCCAAATGTCGCCAAATTAGGCGAATTTTGACGATTTCTCTCCAAATTACTGAGATATTCATTTACTCAATGCTAAATGCACTTGTTCCTGCATTCTTAATTTTCCGAGGTTGCTTTCTCTTAAAATTTGTCTCGCGCCACATTGCACAGATAAAATACAACAATTTTACTTATAATTGTACTAAAATTACCTACCTAAGCACAAAACTTCTGGTCAGAGCTGATGCCAACAAACATTAATTGTCGATGAATTAATTCCCTTATTCCAATGCGAGTTTAATCGTATCTGTGTAGTGTCTTATGATGAATTCTTTAAAATGTCTCTGGTGTGCTTGTTTCCCTTCATCTAGTGCTTTATTTGCACAGATGTAAACATTAATAATTTTGATTGTTTTAATGATTTTTAAGCCATTGGCTGGATTAAGGAAGTGGCATTTTGTGAAAGGAATAGAACTTTGCATTTGGATACAGTATCATGAAAGCTTCAACACCGTGTCTTGAAGTGTTATTGAGATTTAACGAATTTTAAAAGCTTAGCTTTTTCTGCTCTAAGCAATCTTTGACTTTTTTAGTGAATGAAATTTCAAACCAGTCACTAAAACGCTATCGGTATGCGGCTGATGCTCTGCAACTGAAATTACTGCTTTGGACAAATTAAATGGAGACAATTAAGATAACGCGTATACGCAAAATCGCACTGCGCAAGTCTGCGTTTGGCAAAAACTTACTGTAGAATCCTGAAATAAAAAATAAGAAACTTAGCAGAAGAAACCAATGTCTTATGTTGAGTTGACTATCTCATTAGTCTATTTATTCCTTGAATTTCTCGGACACTTGGGTTTGCTGTAACGGCCACTCAAATAGGCACCAATCAGCCACTTAGGATTGGCTTTTTAGCTTCTAGATAATACTGGTCTTTTGGACCTCTAGACTCGCGGATTGCCTGTTTACCATCTGGTCCATGTTTCGAGATACTACTGCTGGAAATAAAAACTTTTATATCGCTGGATATATCCATAAAATATGAAGAGAATCCGTAATATGCATACTTTAGATTGGAAGAGCTTCTTTTCTCTTCCATACATTATTGTTTCCATGTATTTCCTTGTAAATCTAAGGCTTTGCTTGTTATATTTCCAATTAATGTGGAAAGCATAGTTCCTCACCTTGTGTTATATAGTATCTGTGGTACATTAGTGTGTATAGTATCTTGTGTTATATAGTATCTGTGGTATAATAGTGTATATAGTATCTTGTGTTATATAGTATCTGTGGTACATTAGTGTATATAGTATCTGTGGTACATTAGTATAGATAGTATCTTGTGTTATATAGTATCTGTGGTACAATAATGGATACTGGCTTTATTAGACTTCTAGGTAACACGCGAAGTAAAAAAAAGGAAGAATTAAAAATATTGTTTGTTTATTAAGATGGTCAAACATAACAAAGAATTGATAAAATGATAATTTTTCAACATTCTTTATGCATTTTAACGAACAGTTCAGTCATACTAAAAGTATTTCTATCGTAATTTTGCTCATCTTAAACCTCAGCTGTGAAACTTACATTAATAATGCAAATTAATTTGTAATTAGAAGTAATAATTCTATTGTTTTATACTTTTTTTTAGTTAGAGAGTAAGATGGAATCTGATTGAGAGAACAACATCCTCCTGACTAAATCAGAAAAATCTGCCGTATACCTCCTTTTATTCTTCCAAATCGATGACAAAAATTGTACTTGGATAAAGTTTTGTAATTTTCAAAAGTATTTGAAAACTTATTAATTGTATTGTTTTTAATAAAACTGCACACGAATAAAAGACTCTTTTCACGCAAATAATTTTTGCTTTTTTTTTTTTTTTTTCATTTCAGAGTTATAATAACTTAATTAAATGAAAAAGGCTTGTAACGTTGCGTGCCTCCAACTTGCACGCAACCAAGAGGTGACTGTGAAAACAGGATAAAACACAGTGTCTTGTAAAGGGTTTAAGTCCCTTTTTATTCAACGTAATAAATTACAATTGCGTGCTCTTGACGCTTACAGACGGCGCCAACTCGGCGGTCAAATAAAAATAATAACCTGAAAAGAAACTAAAGACAAGACTCTAACTACGAGGCTCTCTAAAATAACTAACTCACCGCGTTTTACAACACCGCTGCTAATTCAGCAGACTTGAAGCTCACTGGAACGATTAACACTACTTCCCGCCAAGCACATAGGCCGAAACGCGGGGTTCTTCAATTTCTCGCTAACTACCTCCGCGCTCGTGAAGTAAGAATAATCACACACCGAACTCGTTTCCTTCTATTTAAATCAGAATACTTCCGCTGATAATTTGAATCCTTGCGCGTTCTACTAAAATTTACATATTCTCTGGCATTGGCAGTTCCAGGGGAAAGTAAGGCTTGACAGGAAAGATAGTTTAAACTTAAAATAAATGTTAGTTAAAATAAATATAAACCCTACATTTGCCGCTGCCAGAATTTGGAAAACTTGGAAGCAGGTCCTACAAACGACCTGTTGTAAGTTTTCTCTAATTCTGAACTAACTGGCGAGAACCTCGTTTACACACACAAAAAAATCTTATGTAACAATTTGTATACTAAAATTCTGTTGATCGTTATAAAGCTCTCTTCTTACAGCAACTTTTCCTGGACTTCATCAATCAATCTTGGTCTTTCCTTCCAGCATCTGGAAGGAATAAGTATCAGTATCTTTCTACATACATTATAATTTACACTTTCTTGACACAATAAATTTTTGTTTTTAAACGATTCGTTTTTCTTAGTTATTGCTTACTTCACATTCATTCAATTTTTCAAGCATTAATTTAACTTTACCCTGGCTCTCCACCGTGTGTGGTGTCAAACGGGAATATTCGTGTTTTAGTCTTACAACACTTCCCCTAACCACCATGATTTGTTAGAATTCAACGACCAAATAGACACACACCTTACTCGACATTTCTACAACTCAATGAGCTACTTTAATATTCTTAAAAATTCAAATGTAGGTGGAGAACCCTACAAAACACATTCATTCTAACTTCCCTTCCCCTCATTCATCTTTAAACATGCAGGCTTTCGCTCTAAAGCATGACTTTTCTACAGTTTAATACTTAAATTTTGACTTCATTGCTTTTAAGCATTCACTTTTAGCATCTACAATTTTATGCTTCTAGACTAAATTCTACTTTTACATAACATTCAAGTATTTACGTACATTTACAAAATTTTAATACATATGATTTTTACAATTTACCATAAAATGAATAAGAGAAAATAAATTTTTACTTTACTCATTCTTCGCCAAGCTGGCGGCACTGAAACTAAAATTCTTATTAATACAAGAATACGAAGTTATTTTTATCTTCGGCCAAATTTTGGCTTTAACATAACAGAATTAGTCTTTCGACCAACAGAAAATGCTTGTTTTTTAGCTTTTACACTTAAAGAAAATAATACTTTTGCCTTAGCTAAATAAAGTAAAACAAAACTAAGTCTCAACCGAGACATATTGACTTTCGTCAAAACATAGAACTTCGTACTTATGCATAACATTTCGGAACAAAAGAGAAAAAAAATTATAGAAGGTTTTAACTTATCTTTGAGTTTTCGATGCTTGAAACTCCGTCATTCGTTTTTGGCAAAATTGTTCCCAAGTTAGAGGTTTCATGGATGTCAATCTTCTCCTTATTGCCCTCCGAGTATCGTCCACACTTTTTCTTTTGCGTCCTCTACATGCTGGCCTCTTGGCGGAGTAATCGTCTGGTTGTTGGCATTTCCGTTTTTTTCCTGGGACGGCTGGTCTTGACGTCCTCCGGTCTGGAGTCCTTCTTGAATTTCTTCTGTTCCTCGTATTTTTGTGCCTCCTGTTGCCGTTTCAGTTTCCGGAACGGCGGCCTTGCTGGCACCTGACTCTGTGGCCGTGTGCGCGTTCTCCTTGATGTATAATTTCTCCTGCTATCCTTTGTAGGTGGTGTTTTTCTCTTTACCACGGTTTCTTTACCCGGTGCATCTGTATTTTGTTTTTCTTAAACGCTGGAGTTTGAAAATTATTTTTCTTTTTGATACCGACGTCCGGGTTGTAGAAGGGCTAGGTCTCTCTTCAGTTCTCTGTTTCTTGGGTGGTGGAATAGTTGTTGTCTCTGGACCTTCTATTTCGTTTAGACTTGAGTCCTGCAAGAAACTTTTAAGGATTTCAAAATCATTTGGATTATAGTATTTTTTCACCTGGTCGGGACTTGCTTTACAGATTTCCCCTCTCTCGTTCTTAAGATATAAGACTACTCCTTTGATTTCCTGAATTACATAGGGGCCTTCAAACTTTGGAGCTAGCTTTGCCGTAAAATTGTCTGGGGCACTTGATAAAGAAAATTTCCGCTTCAATACTTTATCCCCAACTTTAAAATCTGCTTCACGGCGTTTTTTTCTATCATAATATATTTTCTGCCTATTTCTTGCCGTATCCGAGGTTTTAAGCGCCTGATCAATAGCTTTTGCACATCTTTTTGTTTAAACTCCTGCTCTCTTTGTTGCACAAAGAATAATTTATCTAAAGGCGTAATTAACTTTCTGCCTAAAATAATTCTGCTGGAGTTTTTCCCGTAGTATCATGATGTGCCGTTCTTAAAGCATAAGCTAATTCATTTATGTAGCCATCCCAGCGCTTGTGATGTGTGCTCACGTAACTGCGAATTATTTTTACTATGTTTTTATTAACTCTTTCTGCTATGTTAGCCTGTGGTCTATACGGAACCATTTTGATATGGCGTATGCCAAGTCCATTGCATATGTTTTCAAATATTTGACTAATGAATTGTTTTCCGTTATCGCTAATGACTTTTATCGGTGCACCGTATTTTAAAATGTATCTGTGTAAGAATGCATCTGCGACTGTTTTGGCTGACGCGCGTTTAAGTGGAACAATTTCTGTCCATTTTGAAAAATGATCTACTATTACTAAAAGAAAACGATTTTTATTTAACTCGCTCTGGGGGAAGGGACCAAGGAGATCTATGCCTAAAATTTCATTCGGAAATGTAGCGCGAATGCTATTTAAGTACCCGGCCGGGCTGTAATTAATATCATTTATTAACTGACATTGATTGCAGGACCTGACATACGCCGTTACTATTTTGTATAATTGCGGGAAATATACCGCCTCGCGTACCCTTTTTTATAGTCTTTCTGACCCCGAGGTGGCCCGCTGTTTTTTTCTTCGTGCAACTCCTTCAAAATGCTTAATCGAAGCGAGGCTGGGATGACTGGTTTATACTCAAGATTTTCGTTTGTTGTTTTCGTATAAGAATAATAAATTATCTATTATTTCATAGTTTTTTGCTCTATTTCTTATCGCATCGATATCTGTGTGCTCAAAGCTTTCGGGGTCTTTCAAATAAGCATAGATATTTCCAAATTCAGGATCAGCTTTCAGTTCAGTAATAAACCGTATCTCTAGAATCTAAAATTTTTGAAGTCAACACAGCGCATTTAAGTTCATTTCCTTCATCGTCCAGTTTTATACGAGAAAGTGCGTCAGCTACATTGTTTTCCTTACCCGGTTTATATTTTATTGTGATATTATATTCTTGGAGTTTTAAAGCCCATCTTATTAACCTGGGCGTTAGGTTTTTCCCCGAGTAAAGTCTACCAACAGCCGCATGATCCGAAAAGACTGTTACTGGCGATTTGCCGAAATAAACTCGAAATTTGTGTACAGCCATTAATACGGCTAATGTTTCTCTTTCTGTAGCTGTATAATTCCTTTGTGTCTGATTCAATGTTTTACTAAAAAAATGCCAGCGGATGGTTATTTTGCATAAGAACCGCACCCACCGCATAGTCTGACGCATCTGCTGCAATTTCCAGGTTTTCGTCCCCCTCAGGGAATTTTAAAACAGGGGCATTAATAAGCGCTTCTTTTAATCTTTCAAAAGCTGTGTTTAGCTTCCGCTGTCCACGTAAATTTACCCTTTTTTCTTTTTCTTTTGATTACTAAGAGTGGTTCAACAATATTAGCGAAATCTTTTATGAAAGATCGATAGTAAGAACATAACCCAAGGAAAGACGAAAGTTTCTTGGCGGTGTTGGGCGGTGGGAAATTCTTAATAGCTTTTATTTTTGAATCTTGCGTTTCTATACCCTTTTGCGAAATTTTATAACCGAGATATTTAAGTTCTTTAGTTGCGAACTTGCATTTTGAGGCGTTAATTGTAAGACCGGCCTCTTTTAATAATTTAAAAAACTTGTTCTAGATCATTAATGTGTTGTTCCAACGTACTACTCGTTATAATTATATCATCTAGATAAATTAAAGTTGATTTTCCTAGGACAGGCTTTAGAACAATGTCCATAGCTCTCTGGAATGTTGATGGGGCCCCACACAACCCAAAAGGCATGCGTAAAAATGCATAAGTGCCCGATTTTGTTATAAACGCGGTTTTTATGTATATCTTCGGGTCTCATAGCTATTTGATAGTAGCCAGACGTTAAGTCCAAAGTAGACATATATCTTGTCGATTTGATCTGTCTAATGATCTCGTCTATAACCGGCAAAGGGTAAACTGGAAATTTGGTAATACTATTTAGTTTTCTGTAATCAATAGCAAACCTCCAAGCCCTTTTATCCGAAGGAGGAAACTCGTTCTTTTTCCTACATAGTACGACTGGACTCGCGTACTCACTATTTATGGGCGTTATTATTTTATTCTTTAACATCTCCTGAATATGTTCTTCGATGATTACGTCTTTTTGTTTATCATAACCGATAAGGTTTAGTCCTACAAGGTTTTTCGGCATTTAATTGAATCTT